TACTTTTTATAGTTCTTATGCCCTTATGCATCCTCATTTGCAGATGCCCAACTCAACCAATGAGTTCGGAAAACATATTGTTGATAAAGTTCGGGAAGACAGTGAACGTGTTAGGTTGGTTGTTTCTAATGAACCCTTGGCAGCTGAAACTGAGAATTTACGAACTCAAGAAGAGTCTACTTTGATATGGTGGATCAGAGCACTAGCATTATGTATTGTTGCTCTTATTCTTGGTCTCATTTTTGTAAAGTGGGGGGTGCCTTTTCTTTTTGAGAAGGTAATTCCTGTCAATTTTTCATCATTTTCTCTCACCCTCCCCAAAATTCTTTGATGCTGTTGCTTTTACATGAAAAAAGGCATAAACAATGAGAAAATTTATTACCAGTGATCTTGCCTTCGATCATTTTGCTTTGGTTTTTTGATCTTGCAATTGTTTTCACAGTTGCATTCTACATGACAAATTATGGGAGTAAGACATGGCATGAAGTGCTACTTTGAGTGGCAATCTTGAACTTTGCATCTCTCCATATTACCAATGGTCTTGTCTTATATAATTTCGTTTTCATATTTGGCATCGATTTTTCAATTCATTGACTTTTGTATCCCTACAACAAAGATTATGGGAGTCAGACACATCATGAAGTGCTATGTCTAGTGGCAGTCTTAAACTTTACATCACTTCTTATTACTGATTAGCTTAAATTTTATGATTTTGTTTTTGTTTGTGCTGTCAATTTTCAATTGGTTGACTGTTGCATTCTTACACGAGAAATTATAGCAGTATGACATGGCATGAAGTGGTACTTTGAGTGGCAATCTGAAGAAATAAAACAGCTAATTGAGTTAGAAATCCTTTTACTAGCTAGAATGTTTGTGCTTCCTTTTCCGTGGTTGAATACTTACTGCTATCAACATGGCATCCTTATCCCATTTCAGTTTATGGTTGATTCTGTCATGCAACTTTGAAATCCTCACATTTTTGTAGTGCAGGGCCTGGTGACTTCCCCTGAAGATGAAACTCTTTCAGAATTTCAAACTGATTAGTTTTATTGTGCAAGGTCATTTTATAATCTTTTAATACATTGAAAATCAATTTTTCCAGGGATATTAAAGATTAAAGAAAATAAATTATTTGAAATTCTAACAAACCTTGTTGGCCCTTTTATCTCATATGGTGTTTGAATTACTCCCTCTTAATTTTGTTATGCAGAAAATCTCTGATTCTTCAATAGTCTTTGCTCTGTTATGTTCCTTTAGAATTCTATGTATGTTATGCCCAGTTATGTTCATTTTCATAATGATGTTCACACAAAAATGGCGGTCTTCATCTTAACTCTGAACCTTTGTGTTTATCATGATAGGTTCTTTACCCAATAATGCAGTGGGAAGCGACTGCATTTGGTCGTCCCGTCCTTGCCATCGTGCTTGTTGCTTCTCTGGCCTTGTTCCCTGTGTTTTTAATACCTTCTGGCCCTTCAATGTGGCTGGCTGGGATGATTTTTGGTTATGGTCTTGGCTTTATCATAATCATGGTCGGAACAACAATTGGAATGGTCCTGCCTTACCTGATAGGACTTCTATTTCGTGATCGGATCCATGTAAGACTTTTTGATGGTTCCTCAGCAGTGATGGAGTGGTGAATTTGATCTTTTTTTTTCCCTATAGTTTATGCTTCATCTTTTTCTCTAATTGATATGCAGCAATGGTTAAAAAGATGGCCCCAGAAAGCTGCTATGCTTAGACTTGCAGGGGAAGGGACCTGGTTCCATCAATTTCGAGTGGTAGCTATCTTTCGGGTTTCACCATTTCCGTACACAATTTTTAACTATGCAATTGTTATTACAAGTATGAGGTTTTGGCCATACTTGTGTGGATCTGTTGCTGGAATGGTACCAGAAGCTTTCATTTACATCTACAGGTTTGTTCCCTGATATCTCACAATTGTTTTACCATTATTGTTGCTCAAACATGCAGTTCATTTCCTAATTTTTCTTGAAAGTTCCTTTCCGAACAAGGTTTGATCTGCGATCATTTGGTTGACTGAGAAACCCGTCGTAACATTCACATGTTATAAGCCATTGTATTTATAGACATCCCATTTGACCCCTTCGCTAAGTAGATTCCTTTTTTGCCTGATATGGTGTTTGGTTGCTTCAATTAAACTTCCTAAACATTATCGGTGCAGTGGTCGGTTGATCAGGACATTAGCAGATGTGCAGTATGGGAATCACCATTTAACTACTCTGGAAATAATATACAACATAATCTCTCTCATAATTGCAATTGTTACTACAATTGCTTTCACTGTCTATGCAAGAAAAGCTCTAAAGGAGCTCGAAAAAGAAGAGACGGATGGCAAAGAAAGCTCGGCTGCTGAGCAAGGGAATGTCGAGATGGTGAAGCTTCCACTTGAGAGACCTAAGAATTTGGGAGTTTTCATTCCATAACCTGATGCTTACAGAATAGATGCCTGTAAAAAAAAAAACAAAAAAAAAAAAAGAAAAACTGGATCTCTTAGGGAGGTTTTTAGATTGTTTCTTCCTAGTTTAACCTTTTTTCTTCCTCTGTTCTTGGTTAGTACCACTTCTGGTAACTTGATCCTTGTAACTTGATCTCATGATATAAAGGAAGTTAGATTCTTTGTTGATTGCTGTACTTAATCCCTGCTTGAGCTGTAGAGATTACCATTCACCTATTATCTTCCATCTTGCTTTTTTGGTATGGAATTTATTTCTTGCTGAAGCTTTTTAACTATTATAGAAGATTCATTTCGTTCGGAAACGTAATATAGAGTCGCTGAGATTTAATATAGTTTAATTAATGTAGTTCTATTAATACACTAATGATTTAAGTTTTTGATTCGAAAACTTTTTAGTAGCTGTTGTATATCTGTTGTGTCCTCCAACGAGCGAAGACATTAAACTCACTCAAACATTGAACTTCGATGGTAGTTTTATCTACCAGAGTTTTATAAAAATTATAAAAATTAAATGTTTAAATCATTGTAAACAAAGTATAATTATACAGAAAAAAAGTATAATTAAGAAATATTATATTAAAAATATTAATTTAAAAACATAAGTTATATTTCTATAAAATATTATATCTTAGTTTTTTTTATTTTTATTTTTATTTTTTTATAATATCATACCTTAATTTTTTATGAATGACTTGGAAAGATGAATAGGAGTGAATGGAGAAATAGGTAATCAATAATTTATGTAATATATAATTTTGTAAATAAATAATTATATTATATTTGGATGTTTTTTAAAAAATAATTAAAAATAAATTTTATTAATTAATAATTTAATGACAACATAAATATATAAATTGTTAATATATTAATTTAAGTAATTAATTAAAATCTAAACTATTTTTTAAAGCAAGCAAATATAATTTAATCAACTTTAATAAAAAATAAAAAAATAAATATTTGAAGTAGCTTCAAAACATCAAAATTAAATCATAAACAAAAAAATTTCAAAAATCAAATTATTTTAAGTGTCAAATTTCATAAATTAATTTAATATTCGTTTACTTTTCTTTTGGAAGCCAAATGCAGAATTACTGCAAGTAGGTTGGAGGAGATCATACACAGGCCATGGAAGATGTAGAAGATTCAATCAGCTGCTTCTGCCACATTAGATATCTCTACGATTGCTTCTTCCTTTTTGTCGCAAACAAACCACGAAAAACATATGCTCATATAGGTGTAAGTTTGGATAAATAACAACAATAACTAAAACTGTAGAACGAGGCATAAACGTTGAACGCGTGATATAATTAGATGACTCGAGTCACACACAAGCAGCTAAGATCTGGCATTCAATGAGACTACATAAAAATACAACCTTTAAAATCAGTATGTCAAACAAAGTTGAATCCTAAGTTCTTTGTTTCACTGTTTCCATTCACCAACATTTCAACTCGCGTCTTGCTCATAATATAATTACAAGCTTACTTCAGATCTCCCCCAGGTAAATTTGTTTGTCACTACTGCATGAGCCAATGATGGGTTCACTAGGATGGAAGACTGACTCGTTTACAGATCCAGTGTGGCCAGGGAGCTTATACAGAATGCGTCGAGAAGTTGTATCCCATATGTAAACCATCCTATCCGAACTACCAGCTGTGACCTTGCTTCCATCAGGAGACCAGGAACATTTTAGCAAGTTCTTCTCGAAGTTGTGCTGGTGTCCTTCCAAAATTTTAACACAGCGATTTTGTGGTGCATATGGGCGCATATCCCATATGCACAGCTTGCAGTCCATGCCATTAGAAAGAAGGTAAGAACCATCTCATGCCCGTTATCATATCTTGATGACCCTGAAGTGTCATGGTCACCTCACCTTTGCGCAAATCCCAAACTTTAACATCATTATCCATACCACCTGTGAAGATCTTATCCGATGCATCTGAGAAACTGACTGCTGTTATTTGATATTTATCCGGAAAAGTTTGAATTGCACCCCTTTGGCGCATATCCCAGAGTTTGGCAGTCCCATCATCGGATCCACTAACAACAAGAGGCGGACCTCTCCTTGAAGGACAACAAGCATTCACAAATGAGGAGTGTTCAGCCATCTTTTTAATTTGTTTTCCTGTTTCAACATCCCATGCCCTCAGAGTCTTGTCAGGGCTGGCTGATATTATCTGGGAGCCATCAGTAGTCCAGTGAAGGTCTAGAACTGCATTCTTGTGGCCTTTCAGAACCATGAAGTTTTTGCAATCACCCTGCACATTCCAAAGAAAAATTTCTTTGTCATGAGATCCAGATGCAACGACTGTTCCAGCTGGATTGAACTTCATTGTGTATATAGAACTCTGATGGCCTGTCAGCAACATTATTGGGGCTTCCAAACTTGATGTCCGCTGCTTCCCATTCGAACCGGGTGCTTGAGGAGCACTGTAAGGAACAGTAGACCATTCCATCGGCCTTGGACCAGCCGCAAGCAAAGCATTTTCGCCCTCTCTTTGAACAATTTCCATCCAGACAATAAATCAAAATTCAACAAATCTGGATAAACAGAAATGAAGAATCTGTCAAGTACATCAACATAAAAAAGAAGAAAACAGATCCAGATGCCATTATGCGCACGGTCAAAGGTGACAAATTATATGAAGCATTGACATCAAATACAAAGCAACTTTAGAAATCATAAATGACTAATCATAAAACAGCTGGAACAGCTGCTCTAACTAATGGCTGCTACGGCAAGTAAAAATGAAGAATTATAGGAAGCATTGACATCAAGTACAAAGCAAGATTAGAAATCATAACTAAACAGCTAGAACAGTCTATATAACTAATGGCTGCTAGGGCAAGTAAAATGTCCTCCTCCATCCCACTCAAAATGGTACTCCAACAACTGCAAGGGCTACTAAGTACAACATCGATAACTTCAGCATAAGTGAAATCCAGCACTAAATAAAGCCGGATAAAGTTCGTGAGAAACCTCCAAAGAGAAGGGAAAAGAAAATTACACTCAAATCAAAACCCTGAGCAATAACCACAAAAACCTAATTCATACCTGAACTTGAATACGTAACATGAATCGGTCGAATATCGTCGAGTATAAACCAAACTAAACATGTGGTTGCGTAATACTGGACGAGAACATTAAGCAGGATATGAACACACCTACAGTTTGCTATAAAAACACTTTTCCCCTCTCTAACATTCGTTAATAATGTTTTATCTGATTAAAATTCATACCTTGTTAGAGGAATGGAACTCAAAAGTAGGACCTTATCTTTCCCAACGGCGATGAGCGATGCAGGAGATGCTATGGCGGTGAGAGGGAAGAGGAGGAACGAAAGAAGCTGTAAAAGGGGAGGGACGGCCGTCTAGATATGGACGTGGTTTTCCTCTTTCAGAAACCGGTTTGGAAAACGCCGTTTTTGAAACACCGGTTCTTTAAGATGGCGAAACGGCATCGTTTGG